ATGTTATTAAAGTATAAAATTTGAGACACACAATTAAAATTAAAAGAAATATATAAATTCTAAATTCTAAAAATAGTTTCATTTAACGAAATCTTTTAAAATAAAATATATTGTATCTAAAAATAATATTTGCATTATTAACATTATTAATTAATATATTAAAAAGAATTAAATAAAATTTTGAAGTTTCTATTGTCATTTTTGTAGGCATCATAATAGCTACGAGTGCTTAAATATGTAAATTATAGATTAAGTATAGAGTCAATAGTGTTTAGAAGCATTCTAAGTGGAATACACATACACATGCTCAATCTTAGCTTTAGCCAGTGTTGTGTAACTTTTTTCTTTGTATTCCAGAATCTGCTTTGACTTGCGTTGAAGATGCCATAAGCTGGATGTCGGTTCACCTTTAATCCGTTAGGAAATGAACAAAGTTATGCAACAGCAACAAATACAACAACAGCAGCTTGTTGTTGCTTTCATTTTTTTTTTTTTTTTTTTTTTTTTTTTGCTCTCAGCTTCACAGTTCGCTGGCGAAATTAACGTGACTTGCATGTCGCCCCAAAAGTATGCAACGCGGCTCCAAAGTGTCGCCGTCAGCATCGGCCGGGCACCCTTTGGCGTCGCACCCCCGCGCACAGTCCAAGTGCATAACTTTTTGTGCCTTTGGTCCAAAAGAACAACAAGAACAACAACAACAAGAAGAAGAAGAAGCAAACTGCAACTGTGGAAACGTGTCACAAACTTTATGCGCCCGCCACGCGTCACGCACGCGATTTTCGCTTAGTTGTTTGTCACTTTGGAAGCGCGAGGGCCGGATTGGGTGGTGGCGTAACGGCACAGGATGCCATCGGCACAGGGTGGCTAGCGCACAGGGATATTTGCCAGAGCACTCTCAGCACCCAGAACTGGGTAGAGGCGAGCCGCTGGCACCGGTTGTTGTCGCTGCCATGGCAAAGAAAAATTGTCCTGCAAATTAAGCGAGCAGCTCGGCATAAATTAGGGAGGCGTTAGCCAAGCGACCAGATTTCAAGAGCTATTTATATATTTATATATATAGGATACTATTTGTCTATATATACTATATAAATATATAGCCCAGCAGCAAATTCCAAGCATAGGGAATTGACAAAGTAAATGAACTCCTAAGTAGCTTTCTGCGAGACGTGGAATCAACTGAGCTGAAAGCATATATAAAGCGAATATATAATACAATTTTAAGCCGAATGCCCGTGCTGCCAGTGCGTAACCATTAGTTAGTCTTTAATTTTATATGTACCCCCAAGGTACATGAACAAAAATTGTGTTGGACTCTTGGTTTTAGCCGATGGAATAATGCATCAGGAACAACATAAGAATTTAGGAGAAAGTATTAGACATATGGGTCTGGCAATGAACAAATGGGACAAGTCTTATTTGGAGGCTGATTCACTCTGACTCAGAGTCAGAGGCAACGTCGGAGTCAGAGTCAGAGTCAAAGTCAAAGTCAAAGTCAGAGTCAGATTCAAAGTCAGAGTCGGAGTCAGAGTCAACGTCAGAATCAGAGTCAGATTCAAAGTCACAGTCGGAGACCGAGTCATAGTCAGAGTTACAGTCACTATCGGAGTCAGAGTCAAAGTTAGAGTCAGAGTCAGATTCAGATTTAAAGTCACAGTCGGAGTAGAGTCAGAGTCAGAGTCAGATTCAAACTCACAGTTGAAGTCAGAGTCAGAGTCAGAGTCAGAGTCAGAGTCAGAGTCAGAGTCAGAGTCAGAGTCAGAGTCAGAGTCAGAGTCAGAGTCAGAGTCAGAGTCAGAGTCAGAGTCAGAGTCAGAGTCAGAGTCAGAGTCAGAGTCAGAGTCAGAGTCAGAGTCAGAGTCAGAGTCAGAGTCAGAGTCAGAGTCAGAGTCAGAGTCAGAGTCAGAGTCAGAGTCAGAGTCAGAGTCAGAGTCAAATTCAGATTCAGAGTCAAAGTCAGAGTCAGAGTCAGAGTCAGAGTCAGAGTCAGAGTCAGAGTCAGAGTCAGAGTTACAGCCACAATGTATCAAGCTCAATCGAAAAGCATTTAATTGGAATTTATTGGTAGCCTTGAATGTTATCTAATTATTGCCAATGGAGTATTGAGTCAGGGTATGCAATGCACAATATACGATTTACAATTCACAGTTCATTCGGGTCACTCAGCTCATTTGCAGATGATCCACAGCGACTGTTGCCACAGACGTAGCTGCCACTTGGTAACCACTTGAGTTTATAATAATTTACAACATGTTGCAGCAGCAACCGCACACACACACACACCCACACACACACACGCACAGACATGATGGGGCAGTCAACAATGAAACTGACACGAGCTGGCTGTGCGTGTGTGTGTGAGTGAGTGTCATGTGGCAAGTGCTCGACTGCGACTGCGGCTGCTATGACTGTTGTTGCCACATGTCAGCTCTCATAAAACATAAAATCACTTTGGGCTGCAGGTGCAGCCGCTCAACCACTTCAACTTCAGCTCACATTGCCACCTGAGTGTGGCAAAGATGAAGTGTGCTTGTGTCTGTGTGTGTGTGTGTGTGTGTGTGTGTGTGCGAGTGGCATTGTCTTCAAGATATATCAAAACTCTTAGTCCAACTATTGATATCGCTCAACAATGACAACAACAACAACAACAACAACAACAAGAACCACAACAACTGGCTAACCGCAAAGTATTTTGTTTCTGACATCGATGGCAAATATCTCTCAAGTGTCTTTTGCTTAAGAGTTAATTGAAATTCGCCTTTGTTTCGAGCTACAAATGGTTACAAAACTCTCATAAATAAGTTCACATTTAATTACTTGAAATATACTCGAAATCTACACAGAATTTTCTCTTGTATTAATCAAACAGTGTCCGGTTAATTGATTGAGGCTCCCAATCAAAGTCAGTTGCCATGAAATACTTGAGCAAATTAATAATAAAATTCATGTGTGAATGAAATAGACAGCATCACATTTATCTGGAATTCTATTGTTGAGAATTTTACAGTTGGTTTAGTTTTCAAATTAAATTGGAATTTGAAATAATAAAATAGTGAATTAAGTTTGAGAAATCTAATACATTTTATTAACTTGTTAAATCATATTTGATTATCTTTCACTTCATTAGCTATTGAGCAATTTGGGAAATATTCGACGAGAAAATACTATGAATTCCTGCTGTCCTAATCGACTCAGCTAATCAAGACTGTTTAAGCTCTATGGGCTCCACTGGTTTGCGAATAAATTAGGGCTTTTTAAAGTTCTAGCAATTCCTCATTTTGTGACTCAGCTTCAGATATGCGATCAGACCGGAATTCATAGAATATGATAGGCGAAGGATAAAAGGATTACATCTTGTAGATCAACGGGTTATTAGATAAACTTGAAAAGCTGCTATAGATAGGCATAGAATGAGTAACAACTTACTAGTGCAGCCTTAGATCTAAGACAATGAGAAAATTAAAAACTAAATAAAATATAAGTTTAAAGCATTTTCACAAAAATCTTATATTCTGAGCTCCCACTGAATCCCTTTCAGGAATTTATGGTATATGTATTATAAGATTCAACTTTCAGCGTGTAAATCACGGCTCGTTGTCATTATAATTATCCTTTATTATTATTATTATCGTTGAAGTAATTACCGCAATTTTCGCACACTACTAAACGAAAATATTTGCCATCTTAAATCGCAGCAGCATTTGCACTAAAATTTTGTTCATCAAATTCCACGGAAGCCATCAAGCCAAGCAGTGACAGGCAGCAAAAAAAAAAAGATGGAGAGAGGGATCAGCATAAGGGCGATTTGGCTGCAGAGGCAGTCAAGTGTAAGGACGAGATGCAAGGACTAAATGCCAGACAATGCACCATCAAACACGCAAACTTCAGCTTAGCACGGCGTGTGGAGCAGCTCATTACGTAGCCGCGTCAGTTGCGCCCAGATGCCCAAAATGTTGCAGCAGCCACTTCAGTGTAAATCATTACAATAATTCAAATAAAGCGCTGCCAGGACGCGACGAAGGACGAGGATAGCGACTGGCGGCAGTAGTAGTAGCAGGAGCTGGAGCTGGAGCTGGAGCAGGAGCAAAGTAAACGGTGAAAGTTTGCGGAGCCAGACACGTTTTAAAATGGGTTAGAGTAGAGCCAAGAGGGATAGTTGGGCAGGACAGCAGACAGCTGGAGCTTTGCCCACTTGAGACGAAGCAGGAGCAGAGGCAGGAGCAGTGGAAGGAGGAGAAGGTGTGCACGCCGTACGCCAAATGCATTTAAGCAGAAAATGTTGCCAGCAAAAGGAAGAGCAGCGAAAAGGACATGCCATGATTTAGGGCTGCTTAAACGTTTATGCAGTTTGCCATTTAACTGGCGCTGGACTTGCACCGAAAATTCTTAAAGCCAAGAAGAGAAAGCGTTGGCAATATTTCCGTCTGTCAGGCTATTAAACGATCTAATCTCGCTGGCTGCCTGCGAAATTTCATCTGAAAAAGTTGCTGCCCAAAAGAAACTGCATTACATTATTTCAAATTTGAGCTGGTTTTTCATTCGGCTGCAACTTTCTCCGCCTTTGTGCCACAAAACAAATCAGCTGCAAGCTGGCCAAATATGCAAAAGAAGCCGCAACTTGCTGCACAAATAAAATCATATTTAAAACTTTGTGGCCATAACAAAAACTTCCTGCTCGCTGCATTTGCCAAACAAAAAACTTTCGTGTTGAAAAAAGAAAACTCGGCAAACAAGCGAAACAAGCCAAATGAAATGCCCAACAAGCTGAACTTTTAAATTGGTAATTGTAAATATTTATCAACATTCATAAACTGCAACCGCAAAAACTACAAGAAAAATGAGATATAGTTTTTCTTAGTTTAGAAAGTTTTCTCCTTTAGCTGGATAATATGGAAAGTAGTTGAGAGTCTGCAATATAAATATAAATATAAATATA